TACTACTACTACTACTACTACTACTACTACTACTACTACTACTACTAGCTACTACTCCTACTCCTGCTACTACTACGACTACGACTACTACTACAACTACTACTACTACTACAACTACAACTACAACTACAACTACTACTACTACTACTACTACTACGACTACGAGTACGAGTACGAGTACGAGTACGAGTACGAGTACTACGATGGCGACGACGACGACGACGACTACTACCACCACCACCACTACTACGACGACGACTACTACTACTATCCTTCTCAATCCCAAATGCTTTTGGTGGACTTAACTCAATTCACTCTCTCCCCCTCTCCCTCTGTTGTTTGCTGGGGGGGGGCATTTTGCTAGTTAAGATCTGACATTTCATTACACAAAGAACATGAATGTCACTTGACGAAACGGACATCAATCGAATTGAAGTGCTCGCGCGTGCCAAAGACCGACGCCAGACTTAGGTAGGTGCTGCACCTGTTGTCAAGGCATGTCAAGGTAGTCTCTGCCCTCTCTGCTTCCCCTATTGCCGACCTTTTCCCGAATCCAAAGTCTCTGTTTGATCCTTTCTGACCCCTTCAGCGGCGATAGAAGCTGCCGAGCCGAGCCGCTGCGTTTGCGGCCTCTTGAAAGCCCAGCTGACTGGCCTGTTCCATGGCCTTCCCCACGAAGCCGGATCTCTTGGCCACTTCGAACCTGCTAAAAGGCTCCAAATCGGAACCAAATTTCTTTCATGAACATCCAACCATTGACCACTGTGGGTTCATACCGGTGACAATTCAGGGTAGGAGTCTTGCGCCCCATTTTATAAACATGAATTAGGGGAGCAACCTTCTCATGGACCTAAATCAGGGGGGTGAGGTAAACACGCATTCCCTGATTTGAGGAGGACTAACGTCAAAGTTATCATGGAATATCGCCTGAGGATACTCGAAACATTCTGCAGATAGGTCATTTGAGTAAGAGACTGAGCTCAACTGAACTGACTTACAAACATGATTGAGATTGATACCATGCACTTAAGCAGGAGGACAGGCAAAGGGCATGTCATGGATGACTGCTAGTGCTAGTGCAAGGGGAGCTGCCTGTTTGTTTGTTCTAGCGCCTGTGAATATTGGTGGGGTGATGTGGGGTGACATGTTTCCTGCTGATGAGTGTGTGGGTTCGGTGTTCTGCTCACCTTGTTGAGGGCCCACTGTATTACCCCTGCACCACCGTACTATACCATCCTTACGGATCATACGGTGATCCCTCAAATCCTGCACTTCTACTCACGGGATGCAGTGCGGAGTATGAAGCTGCTGAAGCTGACTGCAGATCCGCATTGCCCCATTCGTTGGCTAGCCCTCAAGAGCAAACTCCTGCCATGTTTTACAGTCTCTGCACAATGCGGCAACCCGAAATCCTACAAAGTTTAGCAAAGTCGGACATACTTTAGTTTGGCCAGGTGACCCAGTGTCGCTTTCTGACGTTTCTTTAACCCTCCCGCCATGCGAGAAAACCAGGAGGCTTTCGCAGAAGCGCATGAAGATGCGCCAGTGGATCCACAGAAGGTCGCGCGGCCTCCGAAACGATTTTTCAGGCCGAGTCCCCAAACAGGTTCCCCAAGTTGGAGCCGCTCGGACCAAAAACCAGTGCGGGGATCCAAAGCTGCCAGAACGACGCCATCCGCACGAAATGATATCTTCAATAAATACAACAAAATCACGAGAGCCCTTTTTTCGGAGATTCCGGCAGCAATCCCACGTGACGTTCTGAGTGCGTGTCCTTCGCTGCACACAGAGCCGATTTGAAGTCCAAATTGCAAAGCCTGCAGAGCTTGGAGCAAACAGGGAGGCTCCCCAAATATGGCCAGTTCCACCATGAAATAGAAGTGGGGCAAAAGTGTTCACAGGTGTCAGTTGATCTGCTCCTACTGTATCTGGAACATCTGGAACTGTGTAATTTTGCGTTGCTCTTCGCCATGCCCCGTTGGGCTGTAAATTGGCAAGCTAAAAAATGCAACATTGGACATGGATGGACCGATCGGTTGAGGTTCAAACCCTGACATTGGTCATTGTTTGCTTATAGATTACTAGGTTCCTCTTACAATAACCTTGTCACCATCATAGTAAAAATATGTAAAAATGTTAAAGACTTGAGCACCACCATGCCTTTTCAGACGAAAGCCCATGCGCTGTCACCAAAAGGGGCCAACGCCAGCCGTTCAAAGGAACGTCCGCGGACTGCCAAGTGCAGCCACGCAACTCCATCAAGCAGGCCACGCCAGCCGTCCCTGCCCGATGACAGCCTGTGGCTTGACCGCGCGACGCCGTGACCGATCAAAGGAGCGAAACTCAGCTGATCAAAGTGGAAAGGATGTGGATCAGCCGTGCAGTCAACTCTCTTTAATCATGACCCCGCGACGAAAACATCAGCCGAAGCTGGTGCATGTGAGCATGTTCACCAGTAGCAGGGCTGAAGTCAAAACATCTGAGCACGCTTCCCAGAACGAGCAAGCAAAGCTTGTGTGAAACATTGTGAAACCACCAACCGCCGTGACATGCTCCGACTGCACGTCCAACTGGGCCCCCTGACCAGCCAGACCTGGGTTCTGCAGAGATTTGGGTCATTCTTCAAGTTCCCGGTGGTGGTGCCAGGTCACTGTTTCTTATTGCTACTAGTAACAAGTGCCTCGCTAGTAGTAACAAGTGCCTTACTAGTAGTAACAAAAAGAATTAAACTAAAAATAAATTAATAGTAGCTTCTTGTTACTAGTAGCTTCTTGTTCCTAGTAGCGTGGCACCTGTTCCTAGTAGCGTGGCACTTGTTCTTAGTAGGTGGTGGTGACAGGTCGCTGTTTCTCTACTTAATTCACTTCTCAAATGCGTGGCAGGGCTGCAAAATCTGCAAATGGCTCGCCTCTGCGATTGCTGAAAAGCCAAGTGGCAGTGAATCATCACGTTGCCGCCTTCGGCCAAGTGGTGTTTGGCAAAGCTGAGCAATGGCGCAAGCACCTTCGCGACACCTCACGCCCGAAGGAGGCGAACGCTCGGTGACTGCCTTATTTGGCGTGTCTCAATCACCCACAAACGATCTAAGAGACGCTACTAGGAACAAGTGCCACGCTACTAGGAGCAAGAAGCTACTAGGGGCTCCTGGCCTTACTAGTAGTAACAAGAAGCTATTAATTTAATAACTTAAAGAGAAAGTAGTCGTCTTAGCCCATCCTGTGTCTCACATCGGCCCCACGACAGTGCACCCAAAAATGGCCAGTGCCCTTGTCAGGTAAAACATGGTAAAACCCTAACGCACTTGACCCAGCCAACACCCTCAAACAAATCATCAATGTTGTATGTGTATGAGTGTTTCTATGTCTTCATGTCTTAAAAAGACCGATGTCATGACTTCTGCGACTTGTTCACATCGTTTCTGCGATGCGTTCGTCTCGCTCCGAGGCTCCCTTGGGAGACCGGTCTGGTGCTCCTTCCCTCCAGCAGGCGATGGGAAAGTAGAGGTAGCGAACGTCGGGATCCTCGGCTCGGGCTGCGCGTCGGGCTGCGAAACATCAGTGCCTGGAATGATGGAACAGGGATGGAAGAGGGATGGATCTGAAGCTATCCCATTTCTCCCATTCGCTATGAGTCGCACCCGTTTTTCGGGCGCCCTGCCAGGTGTAGGGCAAGCAGTTGTTCAAGAAGGACTGCCAGTCTTCTCGCATGTTCCAGCGCGCTGTGCCTCGCCCCTTCCCTGGCACAGAACAAAAACACAGGTGCAACCTTGCTTTTCTTCAGGTCATGCTTCTCATCTTGGCCTCTTCCTCCTCTGGCTCCGTAACAAGTTTTGCTGAACAAGAAGCGTCCTTCTGACGAGTGTCGGGCAGTGGCTCGATCGCAGCCACCCAGCGTTGACCCTGGCTGATGTGGCCTCCTCCGGGCTGGGTGAAGTTCCGACGCAGTCAATGTCATGCTTTTGGAACATGTTGAGCTTGAAGTCCAAAATGATCTTCAGGCCTGCAATGCGCTGCGAGCCGAGCCCTTTTGGCCAGGGCATCGGGTTTCATCTCTGTCGACTTGTGCACCGTCCTTGACATCAGAGCTGGCACTCCATTCCAGTGTAGTTTACAGCGCTGCCCCGGTCCTCCCAAGCCAGGAGAGGGTATACGGTATACTCCACTATACTCCACTGGAGTCTGTTGAGGGTCTTTCTTGGAAAAGCTCCATACCAAAAAGGTACCTTCCTTCAAGAGAGTGACGTGAGCACTGCGGAGGCTGTAGATGTGAGGATCCCTGAATCAGCAACCAGCGCAGCTGTGCAATCAATGTGATCCAGGCCGCTTCCCTGGAAATAGCTGCAGAGGTTTCCCAACATCTCCACCAATCGCACACTTGGAAGTCCTGGGGCTGTGCCCCCACCCCTCACTGCTGCACAAAATGTCTCAAGCTCATCAGTCATGAGCTGCCTGATCTGCAGAATTGATCTCAGAAAATCCTGCTTGCAAACCATCCCTACAAACTGCGGCAAGCAGCTGCAGCTCTCTTCTTTTTGGGCAGTTCCAGCCAACTGTTGGAGTTGGACTGCAAGTGGGGCTGGCCATGACAGTAGGAGAGAGGCCTCTTCATACTGAGTGTTCTGGGAAGACACGATGCATCAAGACAAAGGTCATTGCGACAACAAGGCCATCAAAAAGACAAAAGTGGGATTCTGTCATTTGCCTACAGTAGTCTGGCAGTCGGCTAAAGCTTGAGCCTTTCAAGAGTCCACTTTTCCCACCGGCCGACCTCATGAAAGCTACGTAGATTGCGACCTCAATGTGCGCAGAATTCGATCTCTCCAAGACAGGCCATGCGAAAGAACGGAGGTCGTGAAATTCTTCGCGTTTGGTGATCCTCAAACCGAACCAAAGCTTGGCATTTGGCCGCCACAGGTGTCATGGAGGTGCATCGTTCGTGCTAAGGCCGAGGGTCGTCATGGAAGGGTGCAGTCGTTCCAAAAAAGTCGAGGCAGTTTACCTTGGCATCAACAGCGCCGAGCAATTTCTGGTGAATGCGAACATGTGCGAAAAAAAAGAGCTCAGCTATGCTCAGCTCGTTTCTTCGCGAACCTACCAACTCTGTGTGCCAGAAACTTGCATCCAGAGCGAAAACGCCCACCTCAAGCTGGTCCTTCTGGACTCCTCAGTTGCAATCCGTGTCACGATAAAACAAACCTTGTGCTCCACCAACACGTCTTTGGACGTTGCGGAGTGCTCATTGGCAATCAAGAGCTGCCCGCCTGTGCATCGGGTTCGCTGCGATTGTAAAAAAGTTTGGAAACTGTGAAACACGCGGTTCTCCTCTCGAAAGAAGGAGCTGGACAGGGCCTTGATGAGACCCTTCATGACTGTTCCAGGGCACCAGGCTGGAAGTCGTCCAAATGTAGTTTGGTCACATGTCCAAGAAGCATCAAACATGGCCAGGTTACATAAAGCATGATGAAATGATGAGATGTGAAAGGTAGCGGCTGGCTGGTAACCGGGTTAGATAATGTGATGACTTACAGAATGAGATGTCTTGGAACCTAGGCAGGGAATGACGGGGATATTTAGCAGGTGAGTAAGCATTCATTTGGAATGTACAAGCTCATGCGGGGAGGGAACCACGGGACTCCATCCAACCAAGAAAGGTAGCAGTCGTTTTTGGGGGCGTCCCATATCCAAGACCTGAGGGAGGCAGTGCCAATTAGACGGAGACAGACCTGCGTACACAAGACGGCTGGGGGATGAGATGATGCCCGGTGTGGCATGAACGAGGCACCGTTGGGTAAGCAAGGTCAGCTTCAAAAGTAGAAAGAAAAATCTGATCAATTGTGATGATATGTGTTGAAGTGTATGCGGTATACATATGCATATGTGCGTATATGTATATGATCGAGGATGGTATAGGTATATCGATTGCATTCAATTGCTGTCTTGCTGGTTTCAACAAAATTGCAGTGCTGCATCCCGACCTGAGCTTGGATGGCTCCACACCACATTGCAAGGTCTATAGGAGACCTTCTCCCCCTCGTTCCTGACGGATTTGTCTGGGTGGTCAAGCCCAAGCCCACGGCCCGAGTGGAAGTTTGTCGATGCGTGGAAAAGGTGCACCCTACCCAATGGGTCTGAAGACATCTCCTTTTAAAAGGGGTCCTCTCTCTCTCTCTCCTCTCTCTCTCTCTCTCTCTCTCTCTCTCTCTTTCCCTCCTTATCTCCCTCTCTCTCGCGTTTTCTCTTTTTCTCTTTTTCTCTTTTGTTTTTCTCTCTCTCTCTCTCTCTCTCTCTTTCCCTCCCTATCTCCCTCTCTCTCTCTCTCTCTATCTCTCTCTGTACCTCATCAGCAGAGCTGTTTCAACCACTCCATTTTCCTCCTCTGCATGTGGTTTGGGCAGGACTTGAGCACTCTTCAGCATTCTCGAAGGATGGCTATCTTTCTTTACCTAGTCAAGGGCAAATCTGGCTAATCGGGCACATGACACGAAGCGAATGCTCAAAGGTGGCCAAATGGCACCCACTCCCGTCTTCAGAACCCAGGCCTTTCACGTGCGCTGGCACCATCAAAGCAAGCACATTCTAGGGAACAATCATGGAAGTGGATATCATGAAAGATGACTCATGGCCCCTTCAATGACCATCTTCCGAAGACCAACCAGGTGGTTTTCCACTTCCCTAATCATTTTGGTGAGTGTTCTCGGATTTTGGGGGATCTCGGTGAACAGCCACATTCCGGCCAACCTGCGCTGAAGTCGCGGCCCAGTGTCTCGAGTGCTTTCATCAACTTCTCCCCGGCAGCAGCGAAGTCACATTCGGTCTCTTCCAGGACATCAGTACGTGTTGCGATGATTTGGTCCTTCACACCTCAGATGTTGTGGCTGATTCGTGGGTGGGGACGTCGCAACAGACGATCGTATCGACATGGCGGTCCCAGCCGTCCCCTTTCGCCAGGGCTCTTCTTGGTGTATTGGGTGAAGCATAGACCTGAATTGCAGCCATTCAATGGCACGCCAGTGTTCAAAAGGAACGTACAGATTCGAAACGGTCGTTGAATAGTTAAGCAAACGATAGTAAACGACCATGGTCGCGCTGCAGTCATACCGTTCCTTTAGATGAAGGAAAAAACCCACGGATCCAAAGAGCTCACCAGTTAGTTCACCTGCCAAGCAGCCGCAGTCACTTGGTCCTCGACAGTTGGGAGTCAAGACTCCATCTCCAGAAGTGCCAGCGGCTGCACTGTCACAACATGTCACAACTCGAATGCATTTCACAATGGCTCTGACATGATGGGCGGCCCAGCCGTACCATTTGGGGCACACCATGTCGTGTTCGAGTTCTTCTCATCTTATCCCTTCGCCTTTGGAAACTCGAGGTGCAAGTGTTACCTAAGTCCACCAAGTCCGTACCCCAGTGGCACCCCTGTGACACCCGATCCCAGAAGCTTCGCCCAAATCCGTCTAAAGACGCTCAGGAAGCCCCGTGGTGGTTGAGGCCTTTCTTCTTGTCTCAACCACCCCCCCCGGGTGACCCATCTCCTGCGTCAACCCACAGAGGTCCGCATCGCCCAGCGCAGGTAAGACCTGTGGGACCGCAGACGAACCCACCCGAGTCTCCGTCGAACCCGCCGGTCACCGCCACGGTGCCGTTGACGTTTGTGCCGCCGCCCGGGTGAACCGGGTGAACCGGACCGAACTCGCCTTGCTCGAAGCGCCACAGCCCATGAGGTCATGAGGCGTCGACGAGAAGAAGAAACGTGTTGATAATGATGTGTGTTGGTCACGGGCAAAGGTGCTTTTCATCTTCTTAGCTAACATCAAGCTGACATTGCTGACCAGCTAGCATCAGCGTGTGACTCGTTCAGCTCATGTCATTGCTGTCTGTTTGTTGAACTTTCAAACTTGCGTCTCCTGGTGCTGCAAATGCAAAGGAAACAAATTTGTCCATCGGTGCTATATTATCAGGATTTACAGTAATTTACAGTCTTTGCCTCTCCTGGGTGTATGATGGTGAATGTATATACCATTGAATCAATGAATTGTATATGCATGCATATGCAAGTGGTATGCAATCCGCCAAAACGACAAGTGTCTAGTTCCGTCCGACACCTGAGCATCTCGGGGCGCTCGGTACGTCCTCCAGCTTGGATGCGGTCTCTGCTCGACTGAGGAGGTCATAACCTCACGCAATGCCGGAAAGCATGGTGGTGGAAGAAGAAGAATGGATAAAGTTGAAAAATGGATGGTCGGAAGGGGATGCTTGCTCATGATCCACTAGCGAAGGGACCGCAGGGGTGAAGATCCAGAAAGGTATGTATGATGGATCTGTCCAGGCCATTGTTTACTCCCGCGCCGCGCCAATCCCACCCACTATCAGCTGAGAAAGCCGGTCCATCGTTGTTATAGATCTCCAGGTAGGAGATGAACATGCCTGGGTGGCCCGCATGCAAAACAACCACACATGGAACCGACCCCAAGACTTCGACACGCCCCAAGGGGTGGCCCCAAGGGGTGGCCACGGTGGCCAGATCATCTGGGTCTCCAACGGTAGGTCGCATCCGTTCGCTTCTTGAACTCCTTGGAATGTTTCACTTCATTCCCCGCCAGCTGATGCGGAAAAAACAGATTCCTCTCCTATATAAAAACAGTCGATAATCAATATATATATATATATGATAGGTGTATATATATATATATGAATCTACAGTACATAGCCAGTTTTACTTTCAATGTGCAAATACACGTACTTGATGTGTCCTGAAATCCAAGTTGAAGTTGAAACACAAATGGAATGTCTGTGACATCCAGTGCAACAAACTCCCGAGAGGTGACATAAGCCCATGTCCCCCAAGCTAAAGCTCCGGCCTCGAAAAGGTACGAAATAGTTCGGGGGATGAGCCCTCGATCTTCATACCTCTCTGCACCTGGCACCAAATCAACCACCAAGCGTGTCCAAGAACTTGGCTGTGACACTAGGTGCAAACCAATCGCAGACTATGATCAGTGCAAGAAGCAATTTGAAGGATTCTGGAGGCAGCTCTTTTCTGCGAAAGGTCATTAAGACCCGAGCCCTTGGCTCCCTCCCAACCCTGGCCCCTCATCTCCTCCGCGACCGTGAGCGCCGATCCCGCGACCGCGACCGCCGCCGGTCGCGCGACCGGGAGCGTCGCCGCTCCTTGTCGCGACGCGGGCTCTTGCGCTCCGCGCGGCCGTCGGTGCGGCCGTCGTTGCGCTCGCGGCCGCTGCGCGTGGGCTCGCCCCGCGCCGCGCGCTGCGCGTTGTCGAGGTAGCTCCCTGGGGCTGCTGGACCGGGCTTGCCAAGAGACTGACCCTCACCCAACTTCCTCAGCAACAACATGGCCATGGCAGAGGGCCGATTGGAGACCTCTAGGTGCCGTTCGATCTCAATGAGGTACTCCTTCCTACGAGCATCGTCATACCTGGCCAGGATGTCTGCCAGCTTGGATTCCGCCTGTTCGTCAAGCTTATACTTCTTTGAAACGGCTGCTAAGTCTTTGTCTGCTTTGACCTTGCCCACAAAGGTTCCCTCTTCCATCTCCCGCATCTTCACCACCAGCAGACCAGCTGGACTGTTGGCCCGCTCTAGGACATCATAGAGCCGCTCCATATCTGCCACAAAGGTGTCTTCCCTGTTCTTCATGATGTCATTCAGCCGCCGGGCATGCCGTTCCTCGATGTGGAAGTAATCACACAACTCTTGCACATCCGGGTCAATCATGTTGCTGTCCTCGGGCTCTGCAGCAGCGGCACCCGGTTGCATGGCTGCAGATGGTTGGGCAGGATTTGCGAGTGTGGCCAGGATCAAGGGATTGGCGCCCAGCAAAGGATTTGCAAACCTCGGTCCAAACCACCATGCCATCTGGAAAAGGTTTCAGATTTATTTGGTGCAGAAACGTTTCAAAAGAAAAAGCCAAAAGAACATGAAGCAGTTCAAATCAGTTCAAAGTTGAAAGGCAGTTTGGACAACTGAGATACTGATTGCCCCCCAGCAAAGGGTTGTTTGCAAAGAGTCCCGCCAGATTTGCGTCAGGCGCTGGTGGGCTAGCAGGAGGTGGTGGGGGCACCGCCTCTGCCTCCTCCGGCCCTCCATGCCTCTTGGCACGGCCCATGGCGGCTCGATAAACAACAGCAAGCAGCAAGTCTTGTAATCGCTTGGTTCTGATGATTTCCTGGGCTGGTCTGGATGATGATTCTGGCATACCGCGTCATACCATAACAACATGATCCTCCTCGGCACCGATCTGCAGCCAACTGCAGCAGGTCATCACTAAGTCTCCAGTCCCTGCACTTCACAAAAAGCAGCTTTGCTGATATTCATTGTCGCAATGCATGTGTTCACGCTGGTGCCGTTTTGCAGGGTTAATTATTATACGGGTATTCCTGTTTTGGACTTCTCGTATCGTTTTCCAAGGGCAAGTCAAAATCACAGTGATGAGACTCTCTATAGCGTATTAAGAACGTAACTAACGACAAATGTTGAAAACAACTCCTAGTAATCTCCTAGTATCCATCATACATCCATTGAAAGGCATTGAACACCTTCAAGCCTACAGTATCCGCCAAAGAGCATGCTCTTCCAAGTTGCAACCTTTCCACCAAAAGCCCTCAAATTTGAACCCCCTCTTCATCCACAGGCGGGCCTCCTGTTATTGTGAAGGTCTTCCCGCTGCCCGTCTGACCTCAGCTTCCCACTCATCCACACCACATGGGCAGTGGATGGCAGTGGGTTGGTCACTCTCCGCTCCGTTTTCTCAACCGCTTTCGAACGCAAACTCGCTTCCAGAACAGCGGATGGAGCCCCTGTTCTCTGCAAGCATCCTTCTTTACTCAAGCGGATTGAGTTGGGGGGGGAGTCCTTCCGATGGGCGGTGTGGTCCTTCTTCCGACAGACGGCGGGCCGGGTGCCGAACCATAGGCGAAGATCGTCCCATTGATTCCCTGCATCACCTCGATCAGAAGAACCATGGCAAAACGAAATGGAAAGAACGAATTGGAAAGAGAATGGCACGTCGGGTTTTGTCGAAACAAGGCACGACATCAGCGTCTGTGCTGTCGAGTCATCTGAAGTGCCAGACATCTGAAAACTGGCAACGTCTGAGAAACTACCTGGAACATGATGGAATCCTGGCCTTTGAATCCCGTGTTTGGTGCCGCCTCTGCCCAAAACCTCGGTGTGTGGAAGCCCCATTCCGCGACACTGGGCCCAGGCATCTTCGATGACGGGGCGGGCCACGAGGTTGAAGACCTCCTCCTTTTCGCGGAGATGAAGTCTTTTCGGATGTTTTCGGGCTCATCTGATGTGTTTGTTTCCGAGAGAGGCTTGGCCAAAGAATGCCAAAGAGAGACTTTGTGAGTTTGTCATCTGTGAGTGCTTGAATGGGTTATATAATCATCTTCGGATAACTATATAATGGACATTCCAAGCACCTGGGAAATCTTCATGGGAAGGATGCCATCAAACCGAAACTTGTAGTGCGTCTTGGTGTTATTCACCTCCCCATCCTTGGACCAGCGCACAAGCTTCTCTCTGCTGCGAACTGCATGAAGAACCAAAAGGACACGCGTCTCTCGAAATCAAACCTCGACCTGTCGACCTCGACCTCGACCTGTCTCCACTTGCCTCTCTCTGTGCTCGCAGGTGTTCACTTCTTGGCGTCGAGTGTCAGGCGTGGCCTTCTCCTGGCTGAACTCAATGAGCCTTGCATCCCAGGTCGGACCGGTCAAGTGAAAAACGTAAAAACACTGTGCAGCCACTTCAAGCTTGGGATGCTTGCAGGAAAAAAGGAAGATCTACAAAAAGACTTCTTAATTGCCGCAGTGAATAGGATCTTCAGGTATGGTCGCTTTGCCGAAAGGAAGTGCTGAGGATTCTCCGGTATTTCATGCTGCCACGCCAACGAACTCAAGCTTGAGGCTTTGACCCTTCGTCTTGCTTGATTGACAGGGCCTTCAAACATTGCAGCTTGAGAACACAGAGCCGATCCAGTCCTTTGATCCACTGTCAACACCAATCGGCTCTCAATGGAGATGGGGGGCATTCTTCGCCAGCTCCCAGCGGAAAAGCATCCATAATCCATAGTATTTACAAGTAATATATATAGTTACTCAATGTTATTCATACCACTATCATCACCAACGTCGAGGTAATCTCGAGCACTCCCTCTCATCATTCCCATCCCAAAACGCATCAAAAGGCACAACAAAGCACATGAACGCACTCCGTTTTGCACTCAGGACTTCCTCCTTTGGATTCACGCCCTTTCTGGTCGGTGTGCCCCCAACCTGTGCCCGCCCCCGACCTTCGATGGGCGCGCACTGGGACGCACCCTGAAGAAGACTTTGATGTTTGTGGCCTGGAGCGGTTCCGAATGATCACACTCAACGGATGTGGAAGACGTCGTCACATTAAAGCTATAAAGAAATGCAACATGTCAAGACTCTTTTGACTCTTGACTGAAAATCCCGAGTGGTGGTTAATCTGACGGCTTACCCACAAAGAATCGTTAGGATTGGCCACCCATTTTTGGACCATTCTGTCTCTACACCGTAGTGTCTCCACACCCTGAGGATCCAGCCACCATCAGCAGATCAGTGCTGCAGGAACGACATGAGGAGTACAATTCTTTTACTCCAGATGTTGCTGTAATAGTGCAGAAGGATTCCACTCTCCAAAACCTCAATGTGGCATAATGTGGCCACTCGTGAAACAATGTGAAACCCCCCTGGAGGAGTTCACATGATTTACATTGATCTTCTCATTCTTTTGTGATGTTCCTTTGGCGAAGGGTTTTCGGATGAAAACGATCCACTCCGACTCCCGTACCTGCTCCGCACCCGGCAAAGCCGCCAACGTCCAACGTCGGAGCAATCAAAGTCGTTCAGCATTCTTTAGAGCGCAGCCGTGCACGGCAATGCAACTCCAGCTAATGACACACGGGCACCGTTCCTGTGAATTACAGGCGCGTGGGACCCCGTTTTCCATGAATTGTGCAAGCAATTGTTGACCAGAAAATCAGATTTCAGCAAACACACCACCGCGCTCATTGTACATCATTGTACTATATAAATCCCTGATATCCTTGGCACAATCCGTTTGGATCATCCATCACTTCGGATTTTCTGTCGCGGCTTTCGTGATTCCGGCGCCATGCGCCCACCGGACTTGTTCAGCTTCACCGTTCTCCACGCAACGAGTCCAGACCTGTGGAAGTGGGTCCACACGCGTTTCGGGCGGTCGAAGTTTTCCAAGGTCGAATGTTGGCCTAGAAATGGTGATGTTTTCATGGTGTTTTCATGGTGTTTTTGCAGGGTACTTTTGGAGCGTGAATTGCCGGAGGTGTGACACAGTCTTCAAAGTGTGGGAATCGGGAGATGAACTCGGACCAAATGTGAGGCCTCTCGATTCTGAAACGTCTATGTTTGTGTTTGCCATACAGCCATGACCAAAACATACTGAAACACAGGTGGCAGGGTATGGATGGGTATGGGGGTCCTTTTCGCTCGCCTTCGTCCACGTCCCTTTTTCACTTCAGGGGCTACAGCTCTGAAGCTACAGCTTTCTTCTTCGACATCTTGCACTTGGTAGCTGAGCCTTTCTTTCCATGCTCATAGCCGAAGGTGCAGTCCCCTATACTGAGCAAGAAGTTGGAGAGATCAAAGCCTTTGGCCGTCAAAGCCTCGCAGCTTCTGGGGTCAAATTTCTCCCCATGGAACCAAACGTGGATACTGATGCTTCGCATGGGAGGTGACTGGACGAAGTGAAACCAGTGCCTCGGAATAAATGCACAGTCCCCAGCTTTCATGGTCATGTTCCACCACCTGAGTTTCTCCCATCCCGGATACGCTTCGACATCCACATTGTCAACATCGAGCCTGCCGGCATATTGCCCATACGCATCCTTGAACGATGGATCCTGTTCGGCTTCGTTTTCAGCCCATACCCAGCCCATCTCCGTCTTCCGGATCGGCGCAGATGACTCCCACAGGATCCAATCCTTCTGTCCATCAAACTGACAGTGGATGTTGTCCTGTCCATCTTGATGAATCACGGACTTGGTGCCTCCGCTGCTCATCCACAGTACTGTGGCAGCCAACTTTCGTGAATAGCCACCACAGTTCATCACTGGAAGCAGGTACACCTCGCGGCCCAAATTTGGTGGTGTGGTGGCTGTGGAGTACAAAACGGACGTGTTGTATTTGCTTAAGAACTTCTTCAAGGTCCAATCTTCATGAGGATATTTCGTCCTGGTTTCCTTCTTTTCAGTCTCTACTTGGTCCAAGCGCGTATCCCCATAGTTCTCCAAGAGGTAGGCATCGGACCACTTGCTGAAGGCTGGCATCCTTGTGGCAGCCTTGGGCATCAAGACGGGCTTTCCATAGCCCTCAAACTCTCCACCCTTGTCTTGGATGTACTTCTTGAAGAATTCTTCTGGCAAGGGAAGCTCCTCGAGCACCTCCACGCTACCTTGTGGCTTGCCCACTGACCAAATTGACCGCCCGGTGGCCAGCAAGGGAAGGCTCGAAAGACACCAGCTTGGAAAAAGGACCATGGCACACTGAGAGTTTCAGCTGCAGCTATCTGATTTGACACTTGCCTTTGTCGACATTTGATTTGACACTATCTGTATGTATCTGTTCATGTCGCCCTTCGCAGAAGAGCCTGAATGGGTCACCCAAGCCCAAGATCTGCCCAATTTAGGGTTTTTCTCTGCCACCGGTGCGGAGAAACCCTCCTTTGTACAGGGTCTGAACATGTTTGAACATGATCGAACCATCTGCAACCCTGGCCATCTGAAGCTAGAATAAGCTGCACAGATTAAGCAAAATGATGGAGCTGCTGAAAAAAATGGATTCTTCTTTCAAAGCCTTGCATATAGGTGCGGATGCGGCTTACTTGCGAAATACCACCTCAAACAGATGCATGGAGCCAGCAAGTTCCTGTAGCTTCGCTGACCCGCTTTGGTGGACCCCGCCTGACGTCGGCGTGGCTAGGCCAAGCGAGCCCTGGCCAACGGCGGCGAAGGCAACGCGGCTTCCAGTGGAGCCGCTCGTGAATTCGTTGGGAGCAGTTTCCAGTGCATGTGCTGCATGAGTTACGTCCAGATGTGTCTTGTTACATTCAAGTTTTGACAAAAAGGTTGAGACTTGCTCGAGAATGTGTCCGCGTGTGCGTGGGCGTGGGCGTGGGCGTACTCAAAAGGCCACACTCTCTCAGTTTTAGTTGACCTCCCATAGGTCACCAAAATCAGGACACAGTTCAGGTAGAGGAGGTCATCAACCAGTCAAAGGCCGACTTGACAGTCAAGCAGCCCTGCCTACGAATCCCAGCCCTCAACGAAGCGGCACGAAGCGCATTTTCTGCAAAACCCCATGCTCAAGAAAGGAGCGGCCTGCGACTGCCTGGGCAGCCCTGCCCTACGAAAGCGACTCTTTGTGCCGCCCAGTGAGATGCCAAGAGCTGAATGGAGATCCCTCCAACGTTTTTCCTTCCAAGTCTAAGTAATTGGTGAAGATGCATTGAAAAAAATTAAAGCTCTGCTTGGCACTGCCAAGGTCTTGAACCGAATGCAAATTTCAAGAAAAGCAGCGAACAATAGAAAAAAATTTCAGAAATAACAAGACTATAGCTCAGTTATTGCACACGCACATATATATATATATATACATACATCCCAAAGAATGACATCCCGGCCACCACCCCAACCGTCCCCCCGATCGCCTCGGGTCGAGGCGTGGACGCGGCGACCGTGGCGACCCCTGGGCCCCCAGGAGCGCCGGGGCCTCGGTCGACAGGTTCGGGAGGAAAATGTTCGTCCAACATTGGTGGGGACATGGAGTATTTGATTTATTTGGCTGAAGGGGTTTTACATAAACTTATAAAGTTGAATGTTTGGAGAAATGTGAAATGTGGAACCTGGCTCGATCAGGACATGGCGACACGTGGGCCTCGGATGGGCGGACTCAACATGGATGGTGACGACGCTCGACGGATGTTTAAGGAGTCGTGTTTCTATTTAGGTTGGACTTGGGGGATGCGCACAGTGATCAAGCAAAAAGGTCCACTCCCACTGCTGTAGGGGTTGACCCCGGCAACCCCTACATCAAATTGATGTGTATATATATATATATGTATACCTGTGTGTGTGTGTACGTGTGTGTGAGTCCCTCTGTATGTATGTATGTATGTATGTATGTATGTATGTATGTATGTAAGCAAGCAAGCAAGCGAGCAAGCAAGCAAGCAAGCAACTAAGTAACTAAGTAACTAAGTAAGTACGTAAGTATGTATGTGTGTATGTATGTATGTATGTACGTATGTATGAATGTATGTATGTAGGTATGTATGTATGCAAGCAAGTAAGTAAGTCAGCAACTAAGTAAGTAAGTACGTAAGTATGTCTGTATGTATGTATGTCTGTATGTATTGTATGTATGTATGTATGTATGTACGTACGTACGTACGTACGCATGGATGGATGGATGGATGGATGGATCGATGGATGGATGGATGGGTGGTTGGATGGATGGATGTATGGATGTAAGGATGTATGGACGTATGGGTGTATGGATTACGTATGTATGTATGTATGGATGTATGTAGGTATGGTTAGTTATATAAGTTTGTATGTGTGTTTGTATGTATGTTTGTACGAATGGTATGTATGGTATGGTATGGTATGGTATGGTATGGTATGGTATGTAGGTATGTATGTATGTATGATTATGAAATATTATGAATGTCTGTCTGTCTGTCTGTCTGCCTGCCTGTCTGTCTGTCTGTCTCCGTCTCTGTCTCTGTCTCTGTCTC